ACTTGGCCACCTGCTCAAGGTGCTCCAGGGCTGGACCAGATGACCTCTGGGTTCCTTCCCACGACCCCAAGGCCTTTTTTGCAAGTGCCACTACAAAGCCAGGCGCCCCGTTTGATTTGGGGGTCTGCCAAGTGAGGGACTTTGACCCCTGGGTTGCTCTCACCCGGGGCCTCTGGCCTGCCTGGGATGGGGGCTCCTCGCAGGCTCCCCCATGGGGTGGGGGGCTGTCGCACCTCAAGACTGAACCCCCCCGGGACCCCCCTCCCCCGGGAAAGGCCTTCCGGGGCCCCAGGCTCACCGACAGGATCATGCGGTACTTGAAGTTGGGGAACTCCCGGTCGCACTTCTCGCAGCGGAAGAGGCCGTTCTGCTCGTCGATCACCTTCTTGTTGCAGTCCTGGGTGGGGCAGGCCTGGTACATGCAGTTCTCCTTGCGCAGGTACACCACCGTGCCCACGCAGCTGAAGTAGTCGGCCTGCAAGGGCAGCCCCCGGGGGGGGTGAGGGGGGGGAAGGGGGCTGCGCCTGGCCCTCCACCCGCCACGCCCTGCCCAGGAGGAGGCCACGTGCTGCCTGCCACCCCGTAGCACAAAGAACCACAAAACGCAGCCAGTCCTCCACTTACAGCCAGAGTTACAGGGGCAGCGTAAAAAGGGGCTCGTGGCCAGTCTTCCTGCCTACGGTCGCAAAGCGGCCAGCAGTTAGGACAGTCGGGGGGGCCCATCTGGGTCACGGGATGCCCTTGGCGGCCTTCCCGGCAGAATAGAACAGAATGACAGTCGGAGGGGACCCCTGAGGTCTTCTAGACCAGCCCCCTGCTTATTAGGCAGGGAGCCCTGGACCATTTGAATGAAGGAAGCTGGATTTGATGAACAGCCCCGCGATTCCCTTAACAACGGTGGCAAAAAATAAATGGGGCAAAACTCAGTTAACAACCGCTCCCCTTAGCAACAGAACTGCTGGCTCCCTCGTGGCCATAAGTTGACGCCTAAGTCCGGGTGGATCTTCTCTCCAACTTATTGTAAGGCATCGAGAACAGACTGGATGAGCAAACAGACAGCGCAGGGGACACCCCATCCTTGCCCCGGGGGGGGGGGGGGGGGGGGGGGCGCCCTGGGCTGGGGGGGGGGGGGGGTCCTCCCCCTCCCTTCTCACCTTGTCTCCTTGGCCCAGGTTCTCTGACTTGGCCTCTTGCAGGGTCTTCCAGTTGGTGTTGCTCCCCCCTGCTGCCGGCCCCCCCCGCCCCGAAGAGATGGACACGGACTCCAGGTGCTGCCCCTCTGAGTCAAACCTGAGAGGAGGGGAGGGGCTTTTACCTCCAGACGCCGCCGCAGGAGGGGCTTCTGCCAAGGAGCCCCGCGGATGAGTCCCCCCAAGAGCCTGGCAGGATCGGCTCCCATTAGGCCCCCGCTTTATAACTCTTCCCCGGCCTGGCTCTGCACTGCGGCCGCTCCCCGGAGGGAAGGCAGGGGGACCTGGGAAGAACCAGCCTGGCCCAAGCCAGGAGGAGCCGGCCCTCCAATTGGCCCCCCTGACCCACCCGGGGTCTCCGTAGCAGGAAGAGGCCAGCAGCTCAGCCCCGGCTGGAAGGAGCTGCTGGTGGGGGGGGGGGGGG